TGGATAAAATAATTCCACTAAACTCTACTCTTTTGCTACCTGGGGATATTTTTAAATGGATTTTCCCCATATAAGTAATTCTTACCCTATCTTTATAATATTGTCAGGAACCAGACACTCTAAGCCCAGCATCTGGTGGGCTAAGGTGACACCCAAGTGCTCACCACATGGAAAATGGAGGGTCAGTTTTACCCAAGGCTGTCAGAATATATACAATTATACACCTAGATGGTAGAGGGAGAGAAATGGCTTGAGCAACTGAATCAGCTCATGGAGCTTGCATAAGATACTAAAAGCTGTTCAAAGCAAGAGAACTGAAAATAAAAGTTGGGAGCCAAATTTAAATGGGATCCACAATGGAGTAGACAAGATGCTGGAGGAAAAGCAGAACTCTCATCTGGAGTAAAGTCAAATTGAAGACTAAAAAGGAAACAAAGTGTCACAGAGAAAAAGGAGGAATAGGGCCCCAGGAGCTAAGATAAAAATTTACTGAGCAATTTATTGCTATATTAATTGACTGTCACTGGCCTAGCAGCAAATCAGCAAGAGGGGTTTTGTCAAGGCATACTGTGGGTTCTGACGGCAGCTCACATCATAGCAAACCTCCTTCAAATCGGCATGTGTTACGATACTTCAGCAAAATCCTACATCTCGTGAAGTCTTCCATTTACACGTGAACTGCACGCACTAAATTTTACCTTACCAAGTCCAGTTTATCTACATCACATAGCACAGTCAGATAATCAAAAAAGGTTTAAAGATCCCCCAGCAAAGGCTTAAATAGTTTCCAACAAAGGCACTTTGAAACTTAGAAAAAATGTATTTAAAGTAAAGGACGTTTTTCACTCCTTGTTTAGAAAAGAATGGGCCAGCATTCATTGATTTATTCAAGGATATTTATTTAACCACCTACCACAAGCCAAGCATTGAGGATACAAAGATGAAGAAGACAGTATCTGGGCCTCAAGAGACTTACAGTGTGTAGAGAGGCAGGGGGTGGTGGGGGTGGAGACAGGCATGTAAATTAGTAAGGATAATAAAACGTTACAGGTTCTATAACAGAAGTACGTCGATGGTAAAATAGGAACATAAAAAAGGAGAGTGATGAATTCTACAGGGGTAGGGGACTCATAAAGTCTTTAGAGAAAAGGTGACCCTTTAAAAAATAAATGCAGCAAATCAGGACATTAATATCTATTACATAAAAGAAAATCACATACATATAATTTGTTCTTCATTACAAAAGAGTGATATCTATTTAGGGATGGACAGGCTATAAATACATTTGTAAAACTCCTGTCACTTCAGAAATGCTCCACTAGCCCCTTTGACAGTTGAATACATTTTAGTTGTCATGGTAACAATCAATAGCCAAATATGTAACTTATGATAGGCTTTGTTCACAGGGAAAATTAAGACAAAAGTTTTGTTCTTATATATTGTACATGAAGGTCTTAGTCATAATTTGGGTACATATTTATCTTCCTGGATATTATCGGCCATACAGATACCCTTAGAGATTTTTTTTTCTAAACACTCGCCATTCACCTTTACACCTCTTCTAGGGTCGTTATCTTGAACTAAGTTACCAGGTAGCTTATGAACGGATAAAGCAGAATTGCATTTATTAGAAATAAAACTTCAGCTACTGGTATCCAGTTAGGGTTATAATCTTCAGATGTACACAACACAAAGGTATTTGGGCCACATATTGGTTTCTCTGGCCACTCACTCTTGCAAGTAGCAGAATTTTAAGAGCGCCGTCTTGCAAAAATCCACTTACAAATAAACTAATCGAAGTCCACTGACAAATTCAGTTCTAATCACTAGTCACTTGGATCAACCAATGCTATAAACTTATCTTTGTTAGGGAATCACTTACGGTCTTTATCCCAGTTGCCTCGTTCCGGATTCCTCAATTTAGGAACATTCCTCAAGTTAGTAGTGCTCTTAAAATTCTGCTACTTGCAAGAGTGAGTGGCCAAAGAAACCAATATGTGGCCCAAATACCTTTGTGTTGTGTACATCTGAAGATTATAACCCTAACTGGATACCAGTAGCTGAAGTTTTATTTCTAATAAATGCAATTCTGCTTTATCCGTTCATAAGCTACCTGGTAACTTAGTTCAAACTAACGACCCTGGAAGAGACGTAAACGTGAACGGCGATTGTTCGGAAAAAGTAACACATAGTCTACTACCAAGTTAACCCATCTCAAACCTCTGAGGAGTGACTTTGAACTTCTTTGTTAGAAAAATGTCTCTATTATGAATTTCCCATAGTAATAAGTGTTCCACACAGTCTCACGGAAATTCCTGAGTGTCATTAGTGGATCGTTCCAACCTCTAGGTAAAGCCTAAGTCTTCCCTCCCCTCACTTTAATCCCTACTGCACTCCCACCCCTACTCTTCTCTCCCCTGTGTGAAGAGAAAAGATGATAGGAAGAGGATAGAAGACGGGGGCGGGGGGGGGGGGGGGGGGAGAGTAGAGAAGGAGAAGAGAAAGGAAGGGGAAGGGGAAAAGGATCCAGAATTACTAGAGAGAGATTTTATTTGAAAGGAGTATTGCAGGAGGAAGTGGGAGGGTGACAACTGCAATCTGCAGGGCAGACTACTGCAATAGGGAGAACACTTTGACCACAAGATTTATAAGCAAGTCAAGAGTAAGGCAAAAGAGATTTTCTTTTATATGAAGATATAAACAAGGCTAGAAAGAATCTGAGGTGGAGAAGTGGGATAAAGGGTGGCATGACTGAATAGTAGGTGAGAGAATCTTTTGCCCTGAAGTCAGTCTATTGTCAGGAGAGGAAGTTAAGGAGATGCTACCTGCTGGCAATGTTCAGGGACATAGCGGAGGGAGAGAAGCTAAATCACAGATTGGTTAGCAAACATTTTCTTCCAATTGATCAGCAGAACAAGCAATTCAGCTAATCATTTCTGAGGTAAAGAATGGAAATTTGGAAGGAATGCATCTGGCCTTGTCATAGGTAAAAAAGTGGGGCATCCCTGTATGTATCTAATTGATACAAGAGAAGAATAACTTTTTTCTTTTTTCTTTTATTATTATTATTAATATTTTGCAGTAAGCTGTTTCTAAAACACAAAAGGGTGTGGGGATCTTTTCTTTTTCATTTTTTTTTTTTTTTCCTGAGACAGAGTCTTGCTCCGTTGCCCAGGTTGGAGTGCAGTGATGCGATCTCAGCTCACCAACTTCAGCCTCCTGGGCTCAAGGGATTCTTCTGCCACAGCCTCCTGAGTAGCTGGGACTATAGGTACCCACCACCATGCCAGGCTAATTTTTGTATTTTTAGTAGAGACAAGGTTTCACCATGTTGGTCAGGCTGGCCTCGAACGACTGACCTCAGGTGATCTACCTGCCTCGGCCTCCCAAAGTGCTGGGATTTAGGCATGAGCCACCGCACCCAGCCAGGTGTGGGAATTTCTTAACGTTTGTTGTTTTCCAGGATCACAGGACTCAGGTAAAATTCAACATTGTCCATTGACATTAATCAAAGATTGGATGATGCTATTGGAAAATGAGCTTTAGTATACGTTGGAATAAATAAAAAACTACCTTCCAAGGGACTTGTATTGATGTGAATTTCTTACATATGTTTAGTCTAGGTAAAAGAAACCTTAATGATTAAAGCCAGACCAGAACTCCATATGAAGGTTTGAGGTGAAATAATACACAAAAGTACGCACCTTTCTAACCCTGTCTTCTGTGCTTCTCCCTAGAAGCACAGAAGAGAGGAAGGATCTCCTTCTACAATCTCCCCTGCTGATCAGTGGAGATAGCTAAACGATCATTAACTGCTTTATGTTCGCAGTCATCTATGATTTTTGACTTTGGAAACACATCTGACATAAAGTAAGCAGAAAAGAATCAGTGATGTTTTAGTCTCAGAGGTTAAGCTTATAGCGAAGCTACACAAAGTCTCTGAAATTCCCAGACCAAAGTATTCTCATTAAAAGAAAAAAATTGAATTGTTTTCCTATATGAATATTACTGAGAAAAGTAAATAGCCCATTGCAGTTAGAGTATCTGCTCTGACTCAAGAGAAGCAGTGGGAAGATCCACTTCCTTTTACATTTTTTCTCAAACTCCAGGAGAGCAGGCAGAGAGGAATATGAAGAAATACTACAGTGAGCTGCTAGACTACTGGTACACTCACTTGAACAAAAAAGAGCCTCTTTCTAAAGCAAAATACATAGTCAATACAATGTTAACTTACCCACTATGGTTGACCCCAGCACTTTCAGAAAGGATTTTACTACTCTGACTCACTCAAAATAAAATCCATCATTTGCAGAAGAACTAACAGATTAATGAAAAAGAATATAAAGCAACATAGATTTTAAGGACACTAATAAAATTCACTTAAGAAATTTCTCCATTTATAATAGCTTAGCAATTACATTATTATCCTATTGCCTGAAACAAAGGAAATCATATTTTTGTTGTGTCCATTCTCAAGATCAATGCAGAAACCAAGTTCAAGCTCTGTAATTGTTAAATTCAGTTTTCTATTAGGAAAATAACATATTAAAAATGAACACAGAAATGATAGAAATAAAACTTCTAAGCTGGAAACTGACTTCATTACTGTTAAATCATATTAATAATTTCTAATTGATTTGTATTGGGCAGGCATCTTATATTCCAGAACCATGTTCGTCTATTTATCACAATGTATTCTATATGACATATGGAAACTAATACATTGCTTCATTAATATTTAAGTCTTTCTCTAGTTATGGCTCAGAGATATTTAACATTCTAAAACATAAGCATTTATAATTACATGTTTTACATTTTACTCTAATTTTTAATACTGCCAAGATTATTTAGCATAACTAACTTTTTAACTACATACTCTTTCTCTCTTTACCATTAGCATATCAATCAAATTTGCATTATTCTGCTTTGCTCATTTTATTAAAAGCAAATTCAGGGCACAATTGACTTTTCATTTGTTTAACAAGTGAAGAAATATTTACCCTGACAGCCATTGCATTGTAGAGATTCATCATCATAGTATAATATGCTACCTGTGAATCAAGAAGAAAAGATGGCATACATTTCAGTTACACAAAGACAGTGCAGCCTATTTTTACATATAAAAGATAAGAATCTTTATACATAATACATAATAAGAGTTCTAGCCTTAGAAAAATGAAATCAAACGTTGTACTGAAGAGATAGGCTTCCTAATACATAATGCAAGCTTAACCAGAAAAATCTATGGTAGTCAAACTAGGAGCTAATGGAGATATATGATCATAAAATGCTCTCCGCTGAGTTTGATAATCAATGGTGCTCTACTGAGAATAGAATAACAAAGCAGAAATATTCACAAGTGCTGGTGACATGTAGTATTGTATGATTTATTCACTGGGGTTCTTTTAGCCAAAACTCACAGAAACATAAAAGGAATTCATATTTCAAGACGTCTGGTTTAATGAAAAATTCAAAGAAATGCTGTCTTCAGTCGAAATCGTTCAAGGATATGGATGCAGTGATGGAGCAAAATTGTGCCTTCCAACCATCTATGCAAAATGTTATGTACTTAGCTGCCTCCTGAGTAATCCTTGGGAATTTTGTTTCATTTAATATTCATTTTAACACCATAAAATCATAAATACAATGATATCATGTTACAGCAAATCCCTTGATATAGTGAAGACTTCCTGAAGTGTTGGTTTCTCTCTAGTAAAGACACATTCCTCTATTAATATACAAATTTCTGTTTCAGTAAATTATTTTACAATGTAGCTTATTTCAATGAAAATATTACTTTAAATAAAGCTTCCCCATCTGCTCTCTTAATTAAAAATATAAAATTAATGTAATTCATGACAGTATAATAAACAATAAAAGCAATGACATACATATGAGATATTTTTAACTTTATTTTTATTCAACCAAAATTTATTCACTATAACTTGAGCCCAGGTAATAGGTATTATGTTTCAAGCAAAAATCAGAATAAAGTGCCTTAACTCTTTATAAAGGGGTTTTCTGCCCCATGACAAACAAAAATTCAGATAAAAAGGTTTCACTGTAATTAGTGTTGTTTGAATTGCCTGGTCTGATCCAAGGCAAATTGTGTGTGGAGAGCAGCAGGGCTGGATTATTTATCAACAGTCTGAGCAATTAAGAAACAGTTGGTTGCAATATGTTATTTACAAATGAACACAACGGTGTTTCTTCATTTTAAATTCTCTTTTTTCATGATGGTAAGCAAGGCATAATTGGTGTTTGAGGTGATTTAAAATATTTACTTTAATATTGTACTTCTTGAAGTCATATTGAAGCAGACATTGCTATTAAGCATTTCTATAAAGAAAAAATACATTGGATATTATACATTTCCAAAAGTTTGGGTTCTGAAAAGATGTTTCTTGTCTTTATCATATCATTGTTTAGTTACCAGTAGAGTGTATGTGTGAGCTTTTGAGCCACAGACCTAAGTTCAATTCCTGACTTTGCTTTCAACAGCTGTGTGGCCTTGAACAACTTACTGAAGGTCTCTGTCTTATTTCCATGTGTATGAAACAGGTCATTATATATTTCATTGTTGTGAAGAATAAAACGAGATACAGTATCTAAGGTGCTCAGGACATAGCTGATAGTCATTATGAAAGGGATTATCAGTAGTGCTCACATTACACATTTTGTAGTTAAAAGTACATAATTTATAAGTAAAATTCCAAAAAGTATAAAGGGCTCAATTTTATTACGAACTAACAGGAAAAAGAGATTCAGATTTTGATCCTAAGAATTCTGAATCCTGTAGTTAAGAGGTAAGAAAGCACTTTGATTCTGACACGTTATTCTTACGTGAAAAACTAATTGATACCACATTTATTCTCAACTGACTAGCCCAGATGCTTTAGAAAGTACTAGCCCAGATGCTTTAGAAAGTACCACATTTTAGTATTTCACTTACATGAGGTACTAAAATAGTCACATTCATAGAGACAGAAATTAGAAAGTGGTTACCAGGGACTGGAGGGAAGGGAGAGTTATCATTTAACGTGTACAGAATTTCAATTTGGGAAGATGAAAAAGTTCTGGAGATCAATAGTGGTGATGGTTACATAACAACGTGAATATACTTAATGCCACTGAATAATACAAGTAAAAATGACAGAAGTGGTAAATTTTATGCTACATATATTTTACCACAAGATTTTAAAAAGCTAAAAACATTACATGTGAATGAACTGCATTAACATAAGCTAACTAGGAGATAAATATAAATACTTTAAACTAATGTAAAATTTTATCTGTCTTTGTTTTTCCATTCTGAAAATGATTATTATTTGTTATATTAACATTAACACTTTGGATTACCTGAACAGTTAAAATATAACTCATAGAAAAGCTCTTGTTCTTAGAAACTATGTTCTAGAATTCTGTCTTAAAAGGTATTTTATCATTCCATGAAATTGGGTGAGCAAAGCATATTATACCTACCAAATGTTAATAACCTATCCAAGAATGACAAGCCAGTTTCATGTCTCAGCAAACAAAATTATTTTTCATTAATTACCTATTTTTAATCATCAAGATATCAAGTCTACTTTAAAGGGGAAGATTAAAGATCTGGGGTGAACATTAAGTATAACAGAATCAGATTGTTTTATTGTAGTGGAAACATGGTGCTCAATTATAGATGTTCACCAAATGTTTGTTGAATAAATGAAGAAAAAGAGGGAGGGGAAAAGAACAGGAGAGAAAGATAGGGAGAATTGATGTCTTGCATTTACATTAGACAGGAAGAATTTCTGGGATTAAAATATAGCATTTGAACATTATCAACCATTTGTTAGCTGTATGCGGCCTTTGTCATATTACCTAGCTCAAGTTTTAGAAAGCTTATGAAATTTTTTAGAAGGAATATATTCCTTTTGAAAACATAATTAATTTTCTGACTGGTTGATATTCACATGGATCTTTTCGACAGGGCTGCTATTCAATGGAATTAGACCAGTGAGGTCATGCTTATTATTTACAACTGGTGTCCTTTCTGATTTGTTGTCCACCAACTGTGATGGATGACCCTACTGGATACATGGCTAAGTATTTTTCATGTTATCCTACTTATAAGACAAACTTCTGAGAACTCAGTTTCACCAATGGCTATGTTGGTTTTCTATTTTATGTTGAGGATTTGGCTACCTATCATTTCCAATTATTCCGTGGGCTTTGTCAAGTCTTCTTTTCCCCTGACTGAACAACTTTACAGTCTTCATACCTGCTTATTCTTATGTTTAATCCATTTGGAACAGCTCTTCTAGATTAATTTTGTAAAGTATTGCTTTTATCAAGTCCTTTTTTGAATTTTTAAAATCATAGACTTTCAATAGTTTCCAATTGCTTAAAGCAAGGCATCCTAATTGGGCTGATTGATATAACTAACACACTTGAGTATTTCAGATCACTAGGAGAGAGAGAGAGAGAGAGATAAAATTACAAGCTAAGGCACATGACACTTCACTTTTTTAATTTCTCTAGTAGGATAATGATTACTGATGAGAGTATATCCCATATTTAAGTTTCGCTTTTTTTGCCGGGCGCGGTGGCTCAAGCCTGTAATCCCAGCACTTTGGGAGGCCAAGGCGGGTGGATCACGAGGTCAGGAGATCGAGACCATCCTGGTCAACATGGTGAAACCCCGTCTCTACTAAAAATACAAAAAAAAAATTAGCTGGGCATGGTGGCGCGTGCCTGTAATCCCAGCTACTGAGAAGGCTGAGGCAGGAGAATTGCCTGAACCCAGGAGGCGGAGGTTGCGGTGAGCCGAGATCGCGCCATTGCACTCCAGCCTGGGTAACAAGAGTGAAACTCCGTCTCAAAAAAAAAAAAAAAAAAGTTTCGCTTTTTGCTATCAAGTGAATTACAGTGGGGCAAGGGATAAAAGAGAATTGTTCTCTTACAGGTCAAATTGATAACCAAAATTCACCAAAATCAGGCACTGATCATTTTTATTCCAATTATCCCTCCCTATTCCTTTCCCTTAAACCTCAATCTGATCAAATTACTGGATGTATTTTTCTTCTCCATTTTCATATTTATATGACTTTGCTTGCCTGAAATGTCTTACCATTCCATTTTAGCTGTCCAAATCCTATCTCCCCTGTTTTCCTTACAAGTATTTGTTTATAGAAGAAACTACCTTATCTCCCCTACTACAAGTACTACCAAGTGGAATAAGATGATAACATTCTCCGAACTCCAAGGGTACTTTCAAACCATTTCAAACCAGTAGGATGAGCTTCTTTAAATAAAGAAATAAATAACAGAACCCACTTTTAATCTGAGGCTTTTCAACTTTACTAGTCTCTATCCCTTTTTGGTGTTGTTATCCTTTCTTAAGCTTCTGGATCATACTATCCTCTATCTCTCCTTCTTGCCCTCCCAACTTACTCCTGATACAGGTTATAAAGATTTCAGGTGGCCACAGTTGCTCACGCCTGTAATCCCAGCACTTTGGGAGGCCGAGGCAGGCAGATCACTGGAGGTCAGAAGTTCGAGACCAGCTTGGCCAACATGGTGAAACCCCGTCTTTACTAAAACCACACACACACACACAAAATCAGCTGAGCATGGTGGTGGGTACCTGTAATCCCAGCAACTTGGGAGGCAGAGACAGCAGAATCACTTGAACCCAGAAGGCGGAGGTTGCAGTGAGCTGAGATCATGCCACTGCACTCCAGACTGGGCCACAGAGTGAGACTCCATTTCAAAAAAAAAGATTTTGACACCTAGGTTAAAGTCTTACTGTTCATCGGAACTTCTGCCACTATCCCAAGACTTTTCATATTCATATGAACAGCACAGTCAATTACCTAATCTCACAGTCACCTACCTTTTCCAGTCCCAATGACCCCCCACTTCAGTTTAGCCTTATATTCCCAAAGAATGCTACAGACTTTGTCAACTATGACCGTTCCTTGTTTTAAACCCAGACTGCAAATTCTTCCCATCAAGCCCAGGAGGCTTAATTTCTATTAAAAGACTGTTTCACCTAATCTAAACAGAT